TCAAGTATTTACAGTGATTAGTTTTTGAATTACAACCATATAAAAAAATCGATTTTTTTGAAAACTGTTGGAAAATGTTTACTTTTAACCTTTATAATGCACCAAGGATCTTCAATTTTACATCGGAAACCACCCCCAAAGTTTGAAATCGAAGCATTATTTCAACTAGTCTTCAGAATCTAAAATTATACGATGGGCTCAAATAGCAGTTCTGAAAACAGTTGTAAATCATTAAGAGGACGCTACACCCGCATGTGTTGTCTCCGTCTTACAAGTGAGTAAAATTGCAAAAACTGTTTCGCGCGGGAAAGAACCAGGAAGGCTACAGTTATAACTAAGAAACAAAATTTTCACCACATAATAAGGAGAACATTTACTGTGCAACGTTGTTTTCAATTTTTCGATATCACAAATAGAAAAAAAGTTCTTATTGTTTCAAAATTCATTATTTTTGTGTTTTTCAAAATCGAATAACTTTTTTTTCAGTTCTAATATCAAAAATATAAAAACAACGTTGCACAGTCGTAGTTCCCTTTTATCTTTGGTGAGAATTTCGTTTCTTAGTTATGACTCTAGTCTTCTCGGTTCTTTCTCGCGCTAAACAGTTTTTGCAATGTTACGTACTTGTAAGACGGAGACAACGAAGGCGAGTGTAGCGTCCTCTTAAGACGTTTGACAATTATAGTATATTAAATATAAAATCATACATTTTAGGTCTCAAGTCATATTTTGTATATATGGTAATGACTATCAATAAGAACTATATAGATTAGTTTTCAAAACGATTTTGTTTTTACGCTTCACACATTTACTTTACAATAACTATTAACTACACTGGCTATTTTAATTAATGTTTGTTTAGTATTTAAATTATATTTTCCCAGTTAACTTTCATCCTTGTAAATTTAAATTTAATGTTTTAAATATTTATAAACATTATACTATTTTCCTTAAGTGTTAATTTCAAACTCTATATTTCCTTCACGATGTTTGTATATAGTAATAGTATAAAGATCAACATTATTTTATATTATTAGATTATAGCTGGGGACATAGTATCAAAGTGTTCATTATATTCTCCAGTATACAATTTTTATTAATAGGTATAATTAAAAAAGGTTGTATTTATGGATAGTTAATATACATATTTCAAAATAATCAAAATATAATAGAAAAAGACTTATTTTTTGAGACTTTTATTTACATATTATGATGCTTTAATTACTGACGCTAAAATAATGTAATGTATTTCATGTTATATTTAATTGTTTTATAAACGTGTATAAGAATATAGTTTTTAATAAGATTACGGTTTTTGATGTAATACAATTTTAAACGACCAATGTGCACAACGTTACTAAATATTATTAATTAGCAAACGAAAATCAAGATTTTAATTAGTATAAGTAGTATAACCTCAAACCTGCAGACTCTAATATTATGATTAGGTATCATCTTTTATTTATCATTATTAGATTACAACGTGAAATATCAATTAAATTACATTCGCGCTAATCGAACGGAATGATTAGGACTCAATTGATTTCTAATATTATAGATAAGCTGAAATCTATAAGTAAAAATATTTCATTCTCAGTACATCTAGTCATCTAGATATATTATTATAATTGCCAATTGGTTACAAGTGATTACAATTTACAATCCTTGATATTCCAAATAGATAAATAAAAATATACTAATGAATAATTATTATATAAATACTCAAATTAGATTTCAAGTTCATATTAAAGTATTAAATGTATACCTATTTACAATTTACTAATTAATAGCCAATAAGTTTTATACATAACTATATTTATGTAAGCTCTGTACATATTTGGTTATTCTTAGATCATATAAATAATAATTTAAGGGAAACGGTTGTTCTACTTCTTCACATATCGCACGCTAGAAGTTATAACATTTWGTTATACTTTGAATAAAAAAAATATTTTAGATTTTAGTTTTAAGTACTAAGTAAAATTATTTTTAAAATTTGAACTACAAACATTAATGTTTAATATTCAATAATACGTGGATAAAAAATTATTAATTAATAAAAAATTTGTATTTTTCAGCTGAATACATTCATTCGTGTCGTAAGGCTGACGTTCAATTCAATAGTTGCATAAAAGAAACATTCAACCATCTTCGGCCTTACCTCATTGACGGTATACTCGTATTATAATATCACATAATTAGTTCATAAAAAAAAAATGTATACTTCTTCACATTTTTTGAATTAAATAGTTAAAAGCATTTTGTTGTTGCATCAATAATATTTCTATATTTCTTCGCTCCGAAAAACATATTATAACACGAACCTCTCATGTATATTATCGGAACTTTCTCGATAATAGATATTATTTTTTGTTTGATCGATGTTCATGTTATTTAGATGTCCATTCAAATATGGATGATTGTCCATCACTGTATGACCATGACGTATGTTATTGTAAATTCAATTAATTGTTTTTCCTTAGGTATCGAAGAGCTTACTGTGCCTCCGATTGAACCATTGATTATACCAAAAATGCAAATGGAAAATGGTCATGGTGCGGTCAGGGTGAGGGCGATACTYAGTAACATGACAATACACGGCGCGAGCAATTATACAGTGTTAAACGTCAGGTTAGATTGAAAGCTTATTTTTCTAAGAAAGATAGTTCTAATGCTATAAAATAATTGATAATGGTCCAACGTAATATATTGTCTAGTTAAAGTGTTAAATTAGTGTGATTAATTAGTTATGCATCAAGTGTTTTGCGTACCCATAGTTAAGGGGACGTTATGATGACAATATTTGTTGTCTCCATCTTGCTAGTCTTTAACATAGACAATTTTACGCTCAGCGAATCACGTTTTTTCCGTTAGTTTAAAAATTAGAGTGATTTACCGCATATAAAATTAAAATATAATAAAAAATGTATAGCATTGTTTAGATAATAATCTCACGTTTAAATTTTATAAGTGGTCATTTCACTCTATTTTTTTTTTAACTAAGGAGCTTGGTAGGTATATGATTAACGAAGCATTACATAAGGATCTACAAATCTCAAAAGCCAATGAAATAGCAATTCGACATTACAAAAAATTCTACTCAAAACTCCATTTAATCCAAAATACTCTTATTTCTCGTTTATCCTCTTTAACCATCTCCAGCAACCCTTCAAGGAGATTAAAAAGATAATGGCCAAGAGACACCCTTAGAACCTAATATAAAAAATAAAAATAAAATAAACAATCTCTCCAAATGAACCTACCAAATTAAACAGGAGGTACTATTAATGGACGGTCCCCCCTTCATGCCAATCAATCCATATTGTTGTTATTATTATTATCCGATTTACTTATTGTGGTTTATGTAAGGATTGTAAATATAGCTTTATTTAAAAAGAAAAAAAATTAAGGAGCTAAACGTGATCTATATTGAGTGTACAATTTAMTATTTTACACACTTGTAAGACAGAGACAGGTGTCATCATTATAACGTCTCCTTAATAGTTATTCTTTTATAAAGTATACCTATTTTATATTTATTATTTATTATATTAGATTTAAAAAATAACTTTGTAGTTTCGATTTATAATCGTAATCTATATCGTAAATCTATAGATCGTTATCAAACTTATATATTTTATACACCTGTATTTTAATGAATTATAGATATATGAGTTCTAATATATTTTTCATTATTTACTTGAGATTTTTAAAGTTTATTCGAAAATATGATCATATTCTATGGACTATGACAAACAATTGATTGCTGGGTAGTTGTGTATAATAATTAATATAGTCTAGCACTAGCTAATAATTTTAAAACTTATATAACAACTAACAACCTATAAAATTTTACTTTTAAGAAAATGACAAAATGTATAATCTTAACTACTAAGAATACAGTTGATAACATTATGATAATTATATACCTTCAAATATAGTTTATTATATTATATAAATATATAATAATTACCAAATCGGTTCAAACGTTGAATAAAATGCAACATATGTACTTAAATCTTAACTTTAATAATTGAGTTTACATT